ACACAGACAGACAGACAGACAGACAGACAGACAGACAGACAGACAGACAGACAGACAGACAGACAGACAGACAGACAGACAGACAGATAGATAGATAGATAGATAGATAGATAGATAGACAGACAGACAGACAGACAGATAGATAGATAGATAGATAGATAGATAGATAGATAGATAGATAGATAGATAGATAGATAGATAGATAGATAGATAGATAGATAGATAGATAGATAGATATTTAATAAATTTCTCCCTAAAAGGGTTTTTCAGAAATTATTTACAGTTACATGCATGTAATAATAATTAAGGTTACAAATATAAGTTTAAACAATTATCAAAGACTATATACAAAGTTTAGTTGGTTATACTAAATGTTATCTTTTGCAAGCAAATGTTTTAAGTGCTACTTTAAAAGTTTTAAGTGAAGAGCAGTCTTTCAAGTTCTTGTCTAAATTGTTCCAAATATGGGCGGCTCTATATGTAAATGATCGTTGGCCAGCTGCAGTCTTAAATAGAGGTATTTGAAGAGAGTCGTGTGTACGAGTCCTACGGTCGTGGATTGATGACCTTTTTATCAATTTGTTACAAAGGTAGTCGGGTGCTAGGTTATTCACACATTTATACATGTATAGGTCAAACTGGCGTCTCTAAAATATAGTAGTTTGTCTACTGGGAGCCAATTCAATTCACGTAGAAGTGGAGTTACGTGGTCATACTTCCTGGATTTCGTGACGACTTTGCAAGCAAAGTTCTGGATCGACTGAACTTTCTTCACGTTGGAGGCAGACGTATTTGTATCTAATAATAGTAGAGCGGTGAGTTCCTTTTTGTCCATAGCCTCTAGCATCGTGTCGGTACTAAAAATGTTCAGGGTCTCTGTGGAATGGAGTTTTTTATTTCCGCTTTGATGAGGAGAGAGCAGGTTTTTGCTTATAAGATAGCTACTGAATTGTTCGAGAACAATTTTTTCACAAACCTTAGAAGCTATGGCAAGAAGAGATATCGGGCGGTTGTTTGACGCTACTTCGTGGTCTCCGTCTTTCACTATGGGAATCACTTCCGCTTCCTTCCATGCAGTAGGGAATGTATGAGAGGTTATAGAGCAGTTAATTATATGTGTTAGGGGTCCTAGTATAACAGGGAGACAGTCTTTGAGGATTCTAGAGTTTATCTTGACATCTGGTCCAGGGGATTTGTTCAATGGCAGGGATGCAATGACACGGCGTACTTCTTCGCTGGTTACTGTTCGGAAGGAAAAGAGATCTTGGGAAGGCATATAAACGGTCTCTAAAGGTGTTTCCTCTACAGTAATGTTGTTCTCTTCTGCCAGACGAATTGACGCATCTGCTGCACTTTTGCCTACAGACGAGAAAAACTGATTGAATTCATCAGCGACTGTCTTTGGGTCTTTGGTGTAAGTATGTTTTTCTTTACTCTTTACTTTTTGATGGTATAGCCTGATTGATAATTTTCCAAAGAGAGCCTGGATTGTTTTTATGTCCCTGAACTTCATCCAAATAGTAATTTCTTTCAGAATCTTTTAACATTCTCTTAACAGCTTTTCGAGCATCCTTAAAATTACTCCAATCAAGGTCGTCCCGAGTGTAAGTATCGGCGGTGTAGCTGGTCTCTGGTCTTCATGAGGTCCTTTATGTCCTGAGTTACAAACGGACAAGGACGGCTACGTACTTTGACTGTCTTTATAGGAGCATGCGAGTCTGGAGTAGATTGGATGGTTTGGTTGAATGTGTCTAACATACTATTTACGTCACCGTCGTTGAAAATAGATAATAAGCTGTCGTGTGAACTTCTGGCGAAGTCAGTTACGAATAAACTAGGCGAATAGTTCTTGTAACTACGAACGGTTATGTAATGGGGAGGATGTTTGCGAGATTTCAACTTGAAATCGACATAGACTGGAAGGTGGTCACTTATTGTTGTATTTAAAACACCGCTACGACGTACTAGCGAGTTCGAGGAGACCAATACAACGTCTAATAAGGATTGAGTGGTATTGGTGATTCGTGTAGGAGACTTTATAAGTTGGCTGAGGTTAATTTCTTTAGCAAAGTTGATCAATGCTTTGGATTCTGGACAATTCTGTCTTAACACATCACAGTTTAAATCTCCGAGTATTACAATCGGCTTATTTAACGTTAGTGCTTGGATGTAACTTGGCTTGAGAACATTATCAAACGAGCTTAGTGGGGAATCATTCGGACGGTACGTTACACAAATTACGACTGATTTTGTTTTCTACACTGTACACTGATCCACAACTGGTGAAAGTTGCGTTCAGATATGTACAGTAAGATAGATCTTTCAAGATTACAGTTTTGAAATCTTTGCGAATATACGCGCAGACTCCTCCTCCTCGCTTGTGTAGACGATCAAGTCTAATAAGTTTATACCCGTCAATGTTTACCACGGCTGATATCACGCTCGTGTTAAGCCACCTTTCAGAAATGGTGATGATGTCAAATTTCGCCGAACGCACTAGTTCTCGAAGTTGGATAAGGTGGACATTATTCCGAAGTGAGCGTATGTTCAGATGGATAACTTTTATAACGGGCCGGTGTTGACTGATATACTGTCCGTTTCAATCGGTTGATCCGCGCAAGTTAAATTGTGATTCTCAGATTTGTTTGGTGTGATTAAAATCAGATTATTTAAGTTCCTCGTATTGGGTACATAACTATCAGAAGCCTGACATAACTATCACAAGCCTGACATTCATGTAACTATCACAAGCCTGACATATCTATAAGTATCACAAGCCTGACATATCTAAATATCACAAGCCTGACATATCTAAGTATCACAAGCCTGACATATCTAAATATCACAAGCCTGACATAACTATCACAAGCCTGACATACATGTAAGTATGTAACTATCACAAGCCTGACATATCTAAGTATCACAAGCCTGACATATCTAAATATCACAAGCCTGACATATCTAAGTATCACAAGCCTGACATACATGCAACTATCACAAGCCTGACATATATCTAAGTATCACAAGCCTGACATATCTAAGTATCACAAGCCTGACATAACTATCACAAGTCTAACATGCATGTAACTATCACAAGCCTGACATATCTAAATATCACAAGCCTGACATAACTATCACAAGCCTGACATACATGTAACTATCACAAGCCTAACATACATGTAACTATCACAAGCCTGACATATCTAAATATCACAAGCCTGACTAACTATCACAAGCCTGACATACATGTAACTATCACAAGCTAGAGTGGATCGATATCGCAAATACCGAATACCGATATACCGCCATCAGAATACCGGTAAATACCAGTATACCGGTATTTTTAACGTGTGTTTTTTTAAGCCAAACTGAACTGCTGACCGTCGAGAAAAATCAAGTTTTGACAAAATATTAATGTGGCACATACTTTTATTAGTGCAAATGTCACAAGATTCGCATTATCAAGCTATGTTAACGGCGCTAAGCGGCAATTATTAGTAGGCCGTTGATTGGGCGTCGAAGTGTTGAATCATTCAGTACTACAAGGTGATGTAAATCTAATTAACTTTGCTTTCTAAACGTGATTGTAAGCAAGTTTGACTTGAAATAGCGTTTCAATTCGGTATTAGGCAGCAAAATACCGAAATGTCGGTATATCGGTATTTTTAAATTGTCAATATCGCCAATACCGGTATCTAAACAAATACCGGTATACCGGTATATCGATCCACTCTATCACAAGCCTGACATATCTAAGTATCACAAGCCGGACACAACTATCTATCACAAGCCAGACATATAACTATCACAATTCTGACATAACTACAGTATCACAAGCGTGGCATAACTATCACAAGCGTGACATAACTATCACAAGCGTGACATAACTATCACAAGCCTGATATAACTATCACAAGCCTGACATAACTATCACAAGCCTGACATAACTCACAAGCCTGATAGAGCTATCACAAACCTCAAGGCTGTTGAGAGACATGTTGAATAAAAGA